CTGAGCTGAGCTGAGCCCAGGGACTGAGCTGAGCTGAGCCCAGGGACTGAGCTGAACTGAGCCCAGGGATTGAGCTGAGCTGAGCCCAGGGACTGAGCAGAGCTGAGCCCAGGGGCTGAGCTGAGCCCAGGGACTGAGCAGAGCTGAGCCCAGGGGCTGAGCTGAGCCCAGGGACTGAGCTGAGCTGAGCCCAGAGAATGAGCTGAGCTGAGCCCAGGGACTGAGCCCAGGGGCTGAGCTGAGCCCAGGGGCTGAGCTGAGCTGAGCCCAGGGGCTGAGCTGAGCCCAGGGGCTGAGCTGAGCCCAGGGTCTGAGCTGAGCTGAGCCCAGGGACTGAGCTGAGCTCTCTCCTGACTCTATGTCTCTCTTGGCCTCCTCAGAGCTGATGGTTCATTGTAACTTGTGTGAATTGTTCCTTGTAGCCAAACCGGACCCATAACCTTGTTGTAAAGAGATTTTTGTCCTTTTACAGACTTTGCACGCTCACTCGAGCACGTGTAGGGGCAGAGCAGCTGCCAAGCTTCTCTTTCAGCCTGGGCTCTCTGGGTTTCCTGATGTTGTGGTGCAGTGTGTGACACCCCATCCACGGATCCTTGTCCCACCTTACACAGAGAGGAGCTGCCAGAAGATGCTGTCTCCATCTCCCAGAGATGTGCACTGTGATTTCACATATGCAAACCTCCACTCCACCTCCAGCCCGTGCCCCGTTTGCCATCCCCTGGATCCCAGTGTCACTCTCGTTGCAATACAAACCTTCAAACCTTCAAACCTTCAAACCTTCAAACCTTCAAACCTTCTCCAGCAACCACGGAGCTGCAGCATCTCCACACACCTCTCCCCATTCCAGAACAGGAGCAGCATGCCTTGTCACCACCCTCCTGAAACTGTTCTTGCAAGGCTGTTTGGTGACCTCCAAAGCAATAGAGAGACTTTGGGTTTTATTTCTGAAGAGGCAAGCTTTTCATTCTGGTGCTAGAACACTCTCCCGTGGTGCTCTCACCTTTGCTTGAGGAATACACGAGTGTGAGTGTGTGTGTGTGTGTGTGTGTGTGCAGGTGTATAAAACATTTGGAAGGTTTCATTTCAAAAGATCTGAGCCCGTGTTTGTCTTTATATTGTTGGCCTTAATCGAGCTGGTAGATACTGTGTCTATCTTGCTGCTCTTTTCTGTACAAAGGTTCCAGTTCTGCAGTCTGGGGAGTTTGGCAGATGTGAYAAATATTCTGCACTTATCTGTTTGGTGGGATAGAGGGAATGGGTAGAGTTGCTGGTTTCTGAAGTTTGGCTTTCATACCTTTTCACATAAAATCTTAGATATTCAATTGGTCACTGTGGGGGGGTGAAAAACCTCATTGCTGGCACATGTAGGCCAGATTCCCTGAATTTTAGGCCATTTGCTCAAGCAACAGATTTGGCCTGTGAATGTTTGATTCCTGCTCCCTCTCCTGGGTGTTGGGAACATCTGTAAAACACTGCTGGGTTCCTGGGACAGGGCAGCTGCACTGAAGGGCTTCTGTTGCCTGTGGATGCTGCTATATTTTTCTTCCAACCACCATTCCTGGAAATAACAATGGTCTTAACCTCTCTCACAGACATTTGTTAAAAGGCTAGAATGGGCCAATTTGGCCAATACTTTTTTTTTTTTTTTAAATATATGTTGCATTCAGAAGTTATCACTGTGTTCTGGGGTGGGAGTAAGGTACAAAGTATTTTTGGATTGAATGGGTATCTAGAGAGGGTGAGGAGTCCTAAAATCGAGTCCTAAACCTTATTTCCTGTAAAAGAAAGACTGTATGTTATGTGTGTGTATTCTTTGGGGAGCTCTATCACTGTACAGTTTAGTTAAACGTGCTCCAAGGAAGGAGAAGCTGTTCCTCGGAGGTTTTTAGTTCATGCTTTGTGTTTAAAGAGGAATATTTTTCTTTAAAAAATAAAACCGGATAAGTTTTCACCTTGGTGGGAGTGGTCCAGTTACACGCGCGTTTCAGTGTTCATTTGGTACTTACGGGTGCTGAGCTCTGCGGGGCCGA